TATTGAAGTTATGTATTAGCATTACATGAGATATATAGCTCAGTGTTAAAGCTTGCGATTTGCGGGCTGGTGCGGGCTAACGCGCGCGTTGAATTCCACTGTTTATTCAATGCGCGCGTTAGCCCGCAGCCAGCCCGCACTGAGCTATGTATCTCATATGTAATACATAACTTCAATAACATCCGGGGATGGGCTCCTGCTGCGATTTCTTGACCTTTCTTCTTGTTTTTTTTTCAGGATCTTGATACTTGGTGTAATCGAATTATGCTGGAATACGTATCCTTCCACTCATCTCAGCTCGATATCACTTCATGTGTGTCACGTGATTTTATTACTTTCACTTTTATTGTACAGTAGAAAGGACACACAAGTTAGTGAAAAGAAAGTTGGTTGAAGTAAACAGTATTTATTATTTTATCATTGGGAATGCCGTTGGAGTTTATAGTTTGTTTTTTCTATAGAATCACTTTATAAATCACTAACCCGAAATTCACAGTCTCAATCACTATCACTTCACACTAGCCATAAATTTGATACACCTTACTTAACCTATGACACATGCATTTGATTGACAGTTTGTTTACTAAATATGTAAATTAACCTAATTAATTAGTATTGCCACAATTCTCAACATTATGATCACTTGTGGGACAAGAAATAGATGTACTTGTGGTTTGTTTTTACTAAAGCATTTTTACACTGCTGTATAGTTCATGTATGGAGCCTGAGCGACGAAAGTATCGTCCCAAATGCATTTCTGTGAACAAAGATACATTTTACAACTTACAAGTTGATGAATCTTTCCCATTTCACAGTTAAAAAAAGTATTGTAGAAATAAAAATAGAATATAAATAAAATAATTGACAATAAACATAAGTACGGTTAGCAGTAGCAGAAAATACATTCTGAAGGAGGAAACCAATTTGTTATCCGATCGTCGTTTCACAAAAAAAGGTGTTAAATTGTAAATCGCGCGAGTTTCTGTTTTTTTTTTTATTTATTCAGTCAAATTGGTATGCAAATGTCTTATTTGTAATCCTACTGAGAAAAAGAGAAAAAAAGTGAGGAATCTCACGGTAGACGTGTTGTGTTGAGTTAATTGAATAATTGATTGCTCGTGTCTTGATCACTCAATGATATATATAGGCGGATCAGGTATATCATGTGACTTCAAAGACGCCAGGTCTGATAGTCGTCTGAGGCATCACATGTGATAAACCAGTTTCCAAAATGAAAATAAAGAGACTTGTCCAAAGGCTTTGCATGTGAAAATTGATTTAACTTGTCTAAATTTTGTCACTGAGAGAATGGCAAGCTAATGTTCCACATCTGTTACAAATGATTTGAAAATCCAATTAGCTGAGGGTCATCCATAACTATCAATATTTTCAGAAACGTACAAATCGTACGCACGCTGCTTCAAGAAGGCCGATGGCGATCCATCTATTATGATAGGTCTGCTTTCCATATAGGCTTGTAAAATATTGCTAGTCATTGAGGACCTCCGTCGTAATCCTTGTGTACATTATGCTTACCGTAAAGTAGGGAAGGTTATCAAAAGAAACGTCTAGATAAATGTATTTTTTTATCAAGGGAAGGGCTGTAATCCTCTTACAGTAGACGGAGTGTCATACACAAGCTTTATATCCGCACATTCCATTGCTTGTTCCCGAATGAGATGCGCAAGTGAAAGGGAAAGTAAGGGAAAGCTGGCCGAAAAGTCAAAGTCCAGTGGCAGTGTAAAACGAGGATGAGAGTTGGCAATCACGCGACCAGTTATCTGTAAATTCTTAATGCTTCCCAGGGATGCCGGAAGTTGCTGAGGGCAAGGGGTGAAATTGGTTAACAAAAGGGCATACTCCTTAATAAAAGGGCACCAATGAAAATGAAAGGGCGTCATGATCCTACATTCGTGTCGACCTCCCTCCTCGTCACCAAATTTTTTCGGACCGAATACAATTATTTAGGCACAATTCCTCCGTAATTTCTCGCCAAAAATTCCATAAGTAATGCTTTCCATTTCACCTTTCGCCAAATAGATAACAACTTTGCCGAATTCCTGACGACTGGGGGGTGGAACACCCCACACACATCCTCAAACGACGTTTAATTCTGTTGTAAAAGTTTTGTGCACCTGTTACACCCATAGTCCGCACCCGCACTGCACCCACAAAGTTGAAAATGCAAAAAGCAAGGGGTGCACTTGCACCCGCTGCACCCGTGGTTCCGGCATCCCTGATGCTTCCAACACTGTTGTGTAAGTTAAAGTGCACCTAACCTCAATTCTTTTTATCATTTCATTCTTAAGAACTTCTGAAATTATAGAATAACTTATTTTGAAGATTTTCGTTTGCTCACTTTGTTTCTGAGATATTTCAGTTTGTTTGGTATGCAAATATCCGGAATTTACGTCGCAGATGCATAATATTTAAACTCGAGTTTAATTCATTAAAATGAAGTTTGGAGTTGTGGGAGGATTACGTATACCTAATATACCTATGTAAAACACCATTTAGCCTCTTTATTTAATGATATTTAACTGTAACTGTGAATGTGATATTTAACTAACATTCTTTGAACGTAAATTCCGGACATTTGCATATCAATAAAACTGAAATAACCAAGTGTGCAAACGAAAATCTTCAAAATAAGTTACAATATCATTTCAACAGGGGCGTACCCAAGGGGGGGCGGTCGCCCCTCCAATCGCAAAAAAACTATTCTCTGAAAAAGGCTAAATCCGTAGAGAAATGGGGGGGGGGGGGTACACGTTA